TGCTGTCACCATCAGCAGTGCTGATTTGGCCGTGAGCAGAAGACAAGAATGAGGACGAAAGGAAACCTCCTTTTGACTTCTCAAGCTTTGCCTTCCTGCAAAATGGTGATCTAGAATTAAGATATTGCAGGTAAATGATCACCTGGAAGGAAAGAATGCTTCAACTAACGCTGCGTTTCTCCCCTGCCCACCCCTCATTCCAGCACAGAATTCACTGTTGAAAAAGCCTCTGACAGGCGGAACTGCAAATTCAAGGAATTTTCACTAAGGTCTAGAACACTTGCACTGATTTGCTACAACTCATGGTGTGCACATTGAAGGCAACCTGGAACATCAACACTCACCTGGCTCTGTATGAAGTATTTAACCAAAGATTAAATCTAGTCCAGCCCATCATAATACTCTCCAAAACCTACCACTGATTCACTGCTGAGATAGTTATTAAAGGGCCAAGAAGCACCCTCCATTAGCTAAAGAGACTGAGTGATTTACGTACTGGATTCAGGGCAGTTCACCTCCAATTTTGCTAAATCCAAACTGCTTCTGCCATCCTTCTCTTCTCTGGAGAATTTTCTTTTGTTTGCTGTAATTTGTAGCCTTTAAAAGCTACTGTTGCTAAACTACAACCACATATTCTCCCGTGGGCAAAAGAATCCCATTTTTTAGCCATTAGATCTTCTTCGTACTGGGCTGGCTCATATGGATCCCTTTTGGGCAGATGGGGAAAGCAGAGGGGGTGGCTGGGAACTGAGTCTGTACACCCAGGAATTCCCATCCCATCTGCAATCTGGTTAATTGATAGAAAAAGCTCCCATCATGAGTTTCATTGATTTGTATGAAGCTGATGTTCATTTGAGGCAGTGTCTTGCAGCACAGCAGACAAACTCCGAGTAGAAAGAGGAATAAAACAGAAGAGGAGCTTCAGTTCTCTCCAGGCTATGTGCCAGTGCATGGAAGAACAGCTCTTGAAGAGTTAGCTTTCTTTAGACTCACGGCTTAGAGTCAGCATGTAAAGCACATTTCTGCCAAGATGCACCATTAAAGATTAGAGGACGTCAGCTGCAGCCTGCAGGATCAGGTGTTAATACGGTGAATGTGTGAATGTTTCTACATTGATAGAGAAATACTTCTCCTCTCAAGTATGAATAGGAAGTATTAAACACATAAGTGGTTGCAATGAAGGGATCTACAAAGAGTTTAACAAATCCTGGAGAATATATTACAAGTGATGCTGTGAATTCAAGCAGGCTCAGGAAACAGCAGAGTCAGTGTGGCATGAGCCTGAGCTCAAGAAACAATCTAAGAAACTGATTGAACTGTTATGGTGTGTATATCTTTGAATCCATGTTTGCTCCCTGTTCTCTCGCTAATCCCCTCCCTTTCCCAGTTGCCAATTTTCCCAAAGCCTTCCCTAACCTCCTCCCTTCCAAGTTGTCAAGCGTCCCTATCCCTGCCCCTTTCTCCAGAGAGTTCTGTGTCTGTCTTGCCCTCGACACCCCCCTAGTTACTTTGCATTATCCTCCCCCCACCATTTTCCCTGATAGGCTCATAAGCTATTTGCCCCACCTTATACTCCTCTCTTACCATATCCTCGTGGGTTCACTTTCCTACACCCCTACTCCTGAGCTGCTCTATAAAAACTTCTGTTCACCCCGCCCCAGTCTTGTCTGGGAGCCCAGGGATAAATCCATCCTGTTCCACCCCAGGACCCATGTCACTGCTGTCTGTCCCTGCTCTGTCCCTGACGATAACTGGGAATCGCAGAGCTTGCAGGGGACGGTCATGCCCCTGCCGCAGCCGCCCAGCACGCCCTGCACTGCAACACTGAACTATGGAAAGAACCATCACAGGAGCCTCAGACTGTCCCACAGAACACTCATCTCCATCACTTCGAGAGCTCACCCTCCTTCCAAGCATTTACTAGGATTTCATTTCCCGGCAGTTGCAGTAAAAAACTAAAACCAGAGGAGTGTGCTCACAGACAGCACCTGACTCCCTATCCCTCTTTCAGTAATGCTGCTGGAAACTCCTATGTTTGGGCAGCAGGAAGAAGTTCAAGCCCTTGTGTCAGCCTCCTAAGCGAAGCAGGACGAGCCAGCCTGGCCAGAGAGGCAGCTGTCCCTTCAGTGGGGGACAAGCTCAGCTATGCAGCCTTTCTTGAAATGCACCCAAAAATAACAGTGAGTGCCACCTCGAGACCAGAGCTCCAGCAGGGAGGCAGTCAAGCTGCACTACAAACAAAATATGTCAGGGGCTGATTTACTCCTTGCATGGATGAGGAGTCAAACTGTAGCCAAGAGAGGCTCTGGCTTCTTTAAATAACACAAAGTAGGTGTGTTTTCAACTGCAGCTTCTCCCCAGAAAGGCCCCAATTCACTGAAGGAGATTTGACTCCATACTGTTATGCTCTTGGTCAAACAGCACCCCTTGCCTTCAAAATGCTTAGAGCTCTTTGGTATGGGAAGGAGAGTTTCAAGATCAGGGTTTATTTAGGACTATCTAAGACTATTTAACTTGACCTAGCAGTAAGTTTGAGGCAGATACTTGGCCTAGAGCGTTTGAGTCTGCACTAACATATTCCATGTAATTCAAAGGCCAGGCAGCAAATTCACGCAAGCCATGAATCCAGCTCTAGTCAACAGACAGCAATGGGTGATTGAGAGCTAGACCTGTGTGCCAGTGAGGGACACCTGGCAAAACTTAACATTTATTTAAATTAAACTTTAACTGTGGAGAACAAATACTTCTAACCATTATTTTTTTCAGAAATAAGAGCCAAAGCTCTGCACCACTTTGGTCAGCACTGTGTCTCCTGCCTGACATGTCCTTGGACCTCGCAGGGTTTGTCCTGAGCTACTAAACTGGATCAGACTTGTCACTCTTAGTCCTGCCTACTGATGTTCCAGAACCTGATAGAGCACAGCCAAAGTCTGCCCAGAGGCATTTCTCCAGGTGCACAATGATTAATTGGTGCACATTTCCATATCACAAATTAAAAAGACCTCAGCTTGCTTGAAATGCAGTATATTAACCTCTGAAACTGGCAGTCATGGATACCAGCTTCAAAAAGATGAATATCAATAAGACAGAATCCCAGAGGATAGCATCCCATTGCTGCCAGATTTTCTGGAGCTCAAAATAAGGCATTTTGAGGCTTTTTTAAGGTAGTAACTTTACACACTTATTTTATTAAGAGAACCAACCCAAAGTGGTTCATATTAATAGACAGAATCCAAGAAATTGAGGAGGGCGAGGGGGATAAGGTTGCCAAGGAAAGCTGTGGCATGGATGAAGTGATAGGAAGCTGAGGGCAGGAAGCATACTACCATTGTCGCAGTTAATTGCCAAGAGTCTGAAAAGGTTTGTTACTAAAATAAATAACTCTGTTAGTTCAGGGTGTTCTGCAGGTCCACTGAGGTTGCACAGTAACAGTGCACACAGTAAATCTCTGGAGCAGGATATGCAACAGCAGCTTGGAGACATCAGTCTCACCCTGCACTCACTGCAGGCTACATCAGAAAAGCTAATAATCATTAAGCTGCCATCTTTTATTTCTAATTATTTGTCTCCACAGCAGGGTTTCCCCAACCATCAAGCAAAAGGGAAGCAAGTCTCAAAGGCGTAACTGTTTTGAAGTGGGCTCACAGCTGCCATGGCATGAATGCCTCTCCAAGAACAGTAGCAACTGCTCCGCAGGGCCCACGGAGCTGGGAGGGAAAGCATCTCTGTTTAGGCTGGTTTTCAGTGTCGGTTTTTAGGTCAACCAAAACAGCTTTCCTTATGCAACAGAAACCTCACTTGTTTTGGAGTTTTTGCTTTCATTTAATTAGATGGTAATTCAGAGGGCAGCACTGCTATTCTGAACGCCACAATGAGAACTGTTTTCACTGCTTTACTAAGCAACAAAGTGAAAACACTGAGCTAAGCTGGCTCTAGAACTTGACACCACATTAGAGACCATGGTCTCCTCTGACAGGGTGGGACAAGTGAAAGAGATACCTTGCTGCCACATTTCCATAGAATCATGGAATCATTTAGGTCAGAAAAGCCCTTCAAGATCAAAGAGGCTAACCATTAACCCACCACTCTCAAGCCCACCACTAACCCATGCCCCTAAGCGCCACATCTACACAGATTTTAAACCCCTCCAAGGATGGGGACTCCATCATTGCCCTAGGCAGCCAGTGCGAGTGCTTGATGACCTTTTCCATGAAGAAGTTTTTCCCTAATATCCAACTTCAACCTCCCCTGGCACAGCTTGAGGCCATTTCTTCTTGCCCTGACCGATCCCTCCCACGCTGCCGCCTTCTGTTAAGGGGACAGAAGGTCCCCACAAGCCTCCTTTTCTCCAGGGTAAGCCGCCCTAGCTCCCCCAGTTGCTCCTGCTGCTCCAGCCCTTTCTCCAGCTCTGTTCCTTTCCCTGGACACGCTCCAGCCCCTCAATGTCTTTCTTGTTATGAGGGGCCCAAAACTGACCCCAGGATTCAAGGTTTGGCCACAGCAGTGACCAGTACAGGGGACTGACCTAGTCCTGCTGGCCACACTAGTGCTCATACACACCATGTGTCATTTGCCTTCTTGCCCACCTGGGCTCATGTTCAGGCACTGTCAACCAACAGGAGAGGTTAAAGAAGAAAATATCACTGAAAGGTGCTGGAAACCTCATTTGTTCTTCCTCTTTGGGCTATGTGTAAACAAGAACTTAGGGGAGACCCAAATTCACAACACAACAAGCTGTTCAAGGGCTCTCAAAGCAGTGCCCTTCTCCAGGTCACCCATGAATTCTGGGATAGAAAGAAACAACATGTATAAATAAAAATAACAGCACGCGGCTTCCAGCATTACCAGTGCCACCGTATGGAAGACAGAGCCCAAACACAGCCCATGAATGGACACTGTACTTACCACCACAGACACAGCTCTGAACAATTTTTTCAGCAGTGACCTCACCTTGGATTTCTTGACAGGCTTTAAATAATGGCAACATATGTAAATCTCACCTTGAAGGTCAAGAGCAAAATCCCCAACAGCAGCTCCTCTAGCATTTTCAGCATTTTCCCTCATGGTTTCTGCCCCGCAGCTACTCCCAGCTTCTCTCCATGGAAGCTGTTGGTGTGTTGGTGGTTTGCCCAACACCTACCAGGTCAGGAGAGGAGATTATATTACTAAATTCATATTTCATATAAATATATTACTAAAACTCCTATCCATTTTATGTTTACCTATGATATAAGCTAAGCTTAAAGATGGAGAGGCAATCTGAGCCTGCTGTTTTCTCTGCTGAGTGAAGGTCAGAGCTGTTCCTGAGCCAGTGATACTGTACCACACCCCTTTTATCTTTGCTATCCCTAACAAGGTACCACGTGGCTTTCTTGTTTGCTGACAAAGATTGACACCAATTATTCAGCAAGTAGCAAATTTCATCTCATATCAGGATCAAAACCTCCACAGCCTGTAACAAGCAGGACCACCAAAATGCAATTCTCTCCCCTCTGTGCGATACATGCAAGAAAACTGACAAAAGTAACATGGAGACTTCTCTGGGGAGAGCAAACCAGGGATGGTCCAGGTTATCAGTGTTTCCCAAGGGAGAAGTTTAACCCTTGACCAGAGACTTGTCATACAGAGATAGCCAGATGGGTGACTGTCCTGAGGGTCTGCTCAAGAACTGAGCAGGAACACTGTCTGGCCAAAGACTTGCTCCAGGCTACCCTGGCACAGCTGCAGCTGCTGTGCTGGTACAGCTTTGCCTCTCACTAACCCATTCCAACTATCATGCAAGTGAGCACTTGTATCTTGCTCCGCATCCAAGCTCACAGCAGCTTCCAGCTGTACCTTCCACCCAGAGGAGTTTTATTCTGCATTCAAATGGCTGCTGGGTGTTTGGTGGGGTTGGAGCTCAGCACCTCTGACCCAAGGGAGGTTTTCTAGTCAATTAACAATCCTGCTTTTGGAGATTTGGTATCAAAGCTCATTCAGATCAGGAGGCAGCTGCTCAGTTCTGAGTAAGAACAACAGGTTTATGCTTGGATTTGATTCATCTCTCCTGCCCTGCAATGAGGCATTGTATAATGATGTTGGGTTTAAGAATAAAGCAATCTGTTCCCAGCACCTTCCTCTGCTTTCCCTTCAAGTCTTTCATCAATGACTGGCAGCACATTAAATACTCAGGCACAGAGCAGAACTGCTCTAAATGTGCTCAGCCCTTTCCCTTACTAGGAGAGGAGAGGGTGTTACTGGGGAAGAGGAGTGATGGGAGAGGGGAAAGCTTAGCAGGAGGATAGTTTTGAATTTTAAAAAAGAAAAAAAAAGTAAATTTAAACTTACTGAAGTTGCCAGAGAACACAACCTCAATGCAAAGGCACCACTGCATCCAGAGAAAAAGCTTCACCAAGCAGATCCCTTCCTTCCCTCCACCCTGAGAACACACACTTTGTCCTCAGAAGCTTTAATATACAAACACCACCTCACAGCCAAGTTCATGGCAGGCACCAAACCCCTGTAGGGAAACAATCAGTATCCACCCCACCAGGGCAATTTTTCCCCCATGCAAAGCAGGCTCTCCATGAACACAAACTGAAATTACTAATGCCTGATGCTCTTCTCCAAGCTCTACATACATTTCCCCTCCTCTCCTGCCAGAAGGGCCTCAGCCTCCTCTCCATGGCCTGCAAAGCCCCAAACACCCATGGTTTGCAAAGGGCAAGGTGGGTCAGTGCCATCAGAGAGTCCCTTTCACAACCACAGTGCTGACTTGCCACCAACAGATGTCAGGAGACATCCTGCAAAGAACAGGAAGCATTGCTTTCCATTTGCAAATATATTTTCCCTTCCATTTGCTCACTTGCTGGCACTTAGGTGTGTTTTTACCCCCAGGTCAGTGCTCCACAACCTAGACTGGTAGGAAAAACTAGTACTGGGGGCTTCTTCATATTAAAAAATACAGCACTTTCCAGGCCAACTAAGTGCTTTTCAATATCCAAAATCTTGACACACACACGGACAATAAATCATGCTGTTTGACAATAACCAATGCTTCAGAATTTAAGACAAAATAAACAGGTCAGTTCATTATTTAAATAAGTCCAATCATTAAGTCAAAGCAACCGGTTTCAACTATTTCTGCCCACTGATCTAACAAAGCAGGTACTTACCCAGAGATGAGCGAGCCAGGCCAACCACACAGGGGAAGCACCAAAATCGGTCGTGGGGCAATGGACAGAAGAGAAAGGAGAAGAGACACTGGTTAAAAAGCAGTTACAGCTAAACACAAAAAACCCATGCACCCACCAAAAAAAACCCAAGCCACAAAGCCAAAAGCTCACACTTCTACCCACATGAGCAAGGCAACAGAGCACAACTTCAGTATCTGACTCTTCCAGAAGTGAAGGTGGAACCGGATGTTCACGGTCAGCCACTTCTTAGAAATGTAAACACCAAGTGGGGAAGGGAAAAAAAAAAAACAAACCAGAAACATCAGCTCAGCATTGCCTAACGCTGATTATGCAGTGAGCAGTGACGCAGGCACCCCAAGCCTGCCAGCCTCCCGTCAGCAGGGCCGGCCTCTGCCGGGCTGCAGGAGCAGCGGGCTCCGTGCAACTTCTGCGTCTCTTCAGCTCCTCTACACTTACATCATTTCTCCTGCAAACTTCTGGAGGGCTGGACACAGCCCAGCACCACCAGTCCGGGCTCCACGGGGCTCCAACTGAGCCCTCTAGTGGGCTTTAAAAATTCCACAAAACACCAGAGCCTTAATTTAATTAACACTCGGCCAGAAGCCTCTAAACCCTAATCCTCTCAACAAAAGGATCATTAACTAAATGAAGAGATTCAAGAGAGCAACGGTGCTCCCAGCCGCAGCAAGGCTGGCTGTGGGCTCCAGTGGGCACACAGCAGGGCCTGAAATTCAGTCAGATCCTCAGCCCATGCAACAGCCCCACTGACGGTACAGGGACTTGCCTCACATAAGTACACAGTCGAGCACTCCTGGCACAAGTTGGACTCAACAGTCACCTTGCCATGCCAGAGAATCACAGAATCATGGAATGCTTTGCGTTGGAAGACCTTGAAGTTCATCTCATTCCAACACACTGCCACGGGCAGGGACACCTTCCACTAGACCAGGTAGAAATATGGGCACAAGCCTATACCCATCCTTTGGGATGCACCATGATGCCAACATGCATCATGCATGCACACTCCTGGTGCCATCATCTCCATCAAGACTGAAAATCCAAACTAGTGAACCAGGAGAGCAGGTGGAGCACCATTTATTTTTTAAGTGTTATTATCCAGCCTGGATGCAGGTAGAGAGCAGCTCTCCTTTCAAGAGGCAGCCTCAGTCCTTCAGCTGAAGGCTGGGAAAACACCTTTATCTTCTCCAGCTTTGCAAGCATGAACAGCAGGGAGGGCTCTCCTCACCAAGAAGCTAGGGTGTTCCTTGGCAGAAGAATTCACAGCACACAGGGTGTCATCAGGGAAAAGCCTTCACAGTCAAAGATTCCCAGCCCATATACCTCACCCCAACATGACAGGAATGGAGATCTTGCCCTTTGCAGGTGGCTCTCTTGGAAAGTCACCTCCAGTTTCAGAGCCACACAGAGGATCCAGAGCAGCTGTGAGGAGCTCATCCATGAGACAGCTCATTAGTGTTGTGAACAGGAGCAGAAAAGCTTAATTACAGGGCAGGAATTGTTCCCTCTGGGTTTGGATGCCAGCAGTAGCCTCAGCAGGGCCATGCTGCCACACGGGATAGGCATTCCTCAAAAGCACCCGCAGCCAATGTCACCTTGCCCATGGTGAGCAGGATCCCAGCTGGGCTGCAAATGGTCTGCAGAAGCAGGCTCCAAATGTGAGAAAACAAAATGAGGAAGAATTCAGGTGTTGCTTGCAGAAAAAACTTCTCTGCCAGCAGCAGCCTGCACAGGTCTGGAGATGCTAGTTCAGCTCCATATAGGCACTGGTCCTCTTATTTTGGTGCTGTGTGTGCCCCAGTCTCCAAAGCAGCTTTTGAGGCTCAAATCAAGCAGCTCACCAGGACAGACACAGCAGTAGCTGCTGGCAGGGTACACCCCAGAGACTGCCAAAACCTGGCAGGGTTTTTTGGATGGCCAGAAGATGCTTTAGTGTACTATCTCTCCTCAGACAAACACAGCCTTCCCTGGAACCTCAGCCCTCTAGGGTGCCAGCCAAATTGGTTACAGACCCTCCATGTTTGGGACTGAATGCTGGACAGCATTCACAGAGTCACATTTTCAGCCTTTGCCCCTATCTCCTCCCTGCATCTCCTCAGGATATGCCTTCAGGATAGAGTTGACACATCGATGCCTCCTTGCCCAAAGATGCAGAACAACTGCTCCCAGAGCTAATGAGGATGTCCTGCTCTGACCCTGGGCAGTTTTCAGCACACACAGAATAAGCAGTCCTCTCTGTGTTCACCTTCTGGGAAAATCTGAAGAGCTCCCGTCTCCCTAGCCTAGGAAAGAACACAGATGGTCACAGAGATTAAAGCATACAGAGAATTAACCATGCTATGCAAATGAGCTTCTTCATCCAGCCCAGCACTGCCAGGTGGTTTGAGGTCCAGCACTCGGATGTGATCATCATGGCTTGCTGAGCTCCAATAACAGCCTTGTATTGACTAGGACAGGGGTCAGAAAGCTGAGCAGAATGAAGACAGTTTGTAGGGAAGGCAGGATGCAAACTGCCAGAGGCAGGCAACTGCTGAAATCACATTCGCCTCATGCTATAGCAGAAGAAAACGTAGCAGCACCAGAAACAAGCCTGGTCAGCAGCAGAGATCAATTCTGCACTTGCGTATCTTGTATGTTCCCAGTCAAAGGCAGTTCGGATGGAGCAAGCAGTGCTGCAGCCACAACGTGAACCCATCTGCAACTCTGGACACTGCTCACACAGCACCAGGTGCCCACAGGATGGCAGAAGAAAACCCATACCAGCTCCTGCTGCCTTTCCTAGAAGGCTGAAGTCTTGGCACCCAGCTGAGGCGTGGGATATGTTAGCACAGCACACTGGGATGGGGCCACATAAACTTCCCAAGAAAGGCAGTGTTTCTCGAGGCTACCTTCCAGGGAGGTGCTGCACCTCAAACCCACCAGCAACAGGTTTAAGTCTTATTTAATTTTTACTCAAAACCATTTCACTTTAACATTTAAAAAAAAATCTAACCAGCATGGACATCTTGCTCAGCCAGTGCCCAGCTGCCAGTGGATCCTTAGGGCCAAATTTCAGGCCATGTCATGATGCAGATGACTGTGTTTGCTATTAAAAGCCTCCACTCTGCACCCAAGGAAATTCTCAAGCAGTGCTGACCCCACCTCCCAGCCTGTGAGCCTCTGAGCAGCCACGGGTTGGTTGAGGCCAATCCCGGGGTTCACCTCCACAACAGACACAGCACCTCCAGCACAACTTCAAAACAGATGCACAAAGTCACATTATAGCTCAACGTGGCTCTGTGCTGGGCTAACATCTGCCCTCTGTTGTTCCCACACTCAATGTTTGAGTTCACCTGGGGGCAGGGAAGCAACTCGTGCTGTCCTGTTACATACCCTCAGCACAGACAAAGAGCTCCCCTCAAGTTCTGAAGTGCCTACAAGCAGCTTATCCATCTCCAAGGGTATTTGGAGAGTGGATATAGAAATACAAGCCCTTGGATGACTGGTACTACCCAGTGAGCCCCTAAACCACCACAGCAATCAGAGGGACCAGGTCACAAAGGTCACATACAGCATGATACACAGCTGCCTTAACACCCTGGTGATGCTTGGAGGCATCAGTCCACCCCACTCCCCCCCCACAAAGCTGAAGTCAGTGCCAACACCAAGTTTTCCAGGCCTTAAGGCTCAGAGCTTCGCCATAGCTGCCCTGCACTGCCTTGTTAGCAACACCTACCAGATTGCTGTAATGCCACCGCAGCCAACTCCGAAGGCTCCCAGCACGTGCCAAGCCTTACGTTCCCCTCCTTAAATCCAGATCTGGTCAACTGTGGCCAGATGTAATTACCTACATAAAAGGCACTCAAAGCCACTTCTATAATAAGAGGATATATTCATGCTGTTAGGCTGAGGTTCCTCCTCATCTGCTGTTTTCCAGGGCTCAAAAACTGGCCTCACAGTAAGTGGACCAGCAAGAACTTCACCTCATTCCTTGTTACAAAACCTGCCTTTCCCAGGAATGGAAGGAAAAGTCAGGTTTCTCAGTCATTTATCCACAAACATTTTAACAGGATTTCTTCATTTAATTGAATAGCACACAGGGGCTTTATTTGTGTTGGCAAAGGGCTTTGGGATGAGCAAATGGAAGAGCAAGGGCAGGCTCCATGCCCCAAAACACTTCTCAGGGGCCAGGAAACACATCCAGGTCGAGCCTGCAGCCTTACACTGGCCGGGATAGGCCTGGGATGGCTCCCACAGCCTCAGCATCCACCCAGAGGAGTTCCCAGCTGCTCTAAATCACCAGGAAGTCACCACCAGGGTTGACACAGCACAACAATCCACCTCAAGTTCCCACCAAGCCCCTTCTGCTAAAATCTGCCAACGAGTGGCAGTTTTGGAGCCTTCCCAGAGCCTCAGGGTCTGACTTAAGGGGGTTGAGACAGTAAAAAGCTGTTCCGACATAGCATTTGTGTCCTGACACAGGCTCCGAGCCGGGAGCCCAGATGGTGGTTGTGTGAACCCTGCCCACGGCGTCCCATCCTCATCTGGTAGTCCAGGCTTTTCTCAGGGGGGCATCAGGAAGGGACTAGACACAAACCATAGTAATTGGATAGACAGTGAGTCCTGCAGCCCTACAAAGCTGTGAGCAGCTGCTCAGAACCTCTTGTAAACCACAAAAATAGTTTCATCTACAGAGAATGGATTAAACACCACAAATACCCTTTTCTTCCCTCTGTGCACATTTTCCCCCACTGTGGTCCCAAAACAAAATCCAGCCCTGCAGATCAAACCAGGAAATTTAGCAAACTTTGAGCATGAACAATAGCAAGAGGATTTTCCAGACCTTCAAGCTTGCTTGGCAAGTCATAGATTATGTAAAGTGCTGCTCTGCCATTGTCAGGAAAGCCATGTCCTGTGCCAGAGCCAGCTGGCACCACACTGCCCACCCAGCACTGCCTGCACCAACAAGGACAGTGGGGCTTGTGCAACTCCACAGATTCCTTCTCAGGGACTTCCACAGCAGCAGCCACTGCCTTTCACTTTACACCCCATTGTTTTAACCATGATTAACCATCTTTCCAGGGTCTCGGTTTTCCAACCCATCCTGCCCAGGTGTTTGGTGGCCTGC